TCAGTTACTTAAGATACATTCATATCTGGTTCTTTCCTTCCTCAGCACATGGAAGTCTGCACTTCTTAGCCACCTTGTAGTTAGCTGGGCCCTATGATAAGAAATGCGTGACGTGTGTTATTTTTGGCCTACAGGAGTAACAGCTCCTCTACAACCATCTAGCATTCCCCTCAGCATGGTACCTGGAGGACGCAGACTAAAGACATGAGTCATAGGATGAAGACACCCTGGATCTCTAAGGCACAGCTGGAGTTGTTTTGGAGGGTCACAGGATCTTCACCAGATTTTCCTTTAGTAAGGAACATTGTTTTATATAATAAGACACCGAAATGTAGTATTTGTGTGTTGTTGCAGCATTTTTTAACCTTTTCTAGCTAATACAGGATCTTCCACCATTATTTTAAAATTTCAGTCTTAAAGGGTTCCTATTGCAATTGAGTCAGTTTTTTCCTCTGTAGGATTTTAGGGTGCTATAATAGGTTGAATTATTTAACCATCTTCCATCCCCAAAGACGGGAAGATCTTCTTCCTAATCCCTGCAACCTACTAATTTGTTATCTTACACAGCAAGAGAGATTCGGGGTTTTGAGATGGGGAGATTATCTGGATTATCTTGGCAGGTCCAATGTAATCACAAGTATTGTTAGGAGGAGGAGGCAGCAGGCTCAGTCAGAAAAAGCCAATGTGCCAATGAAAGTAGGGGTTGGAGTAGTAATGCACTTTGAAGATGGAGAAAGGGGCCATGAGCCAAGGAGCTTGGTTTTAGTTTTGCAAGACCCTTTTTGGATTTCTGACCTTCAGAACTGTAAGGAAATGAATTGTGTTTGTTAAATCACTACAGTTGTGGTAAATTGTCACTGCAGCACAGGAAAGTAATACAGGTGTCGCATAGTATTTTCCTTTCTCTGAACATTTTGAAAATGATATTCTAAAGTTAACATACCTATACACTATATCTTAAACTATATTCCTCTTTCTTTTCTTTATCTAAGTACTAGTGGTTAAGGGGTATTGGAAAAGAGTTTCTTCTCACTGTATTCTTAAACCCACCCATCTTACCATTTTTATTTTATGGACATAGATTTTGTTGCATTATTTGCTACGAAAAGATTCCTTTTCTACTCCCATTTTTGAATTATTTATTTTATCTTTCACAATAACCTGGAACACAGAAATCAATTCATCAAGGCTTTTTGCTTGTAAGCTGTAAAGATCATCTTGCACTGAGTATTCTCAGACCTGGTGATACTCTCCAGCAGAGATAAACATGGCACAATCTCTGAAGGTTTCTCCCAAGTCCTTCAGCTTTCACACTTCTGGTAAAGGTTCATAAATTACACAGATATTCCTGACACCTGTTAAGGAATATTGTGACAAAACATTATACCTGTTTTCTGGCTCTGAGTGGGAGATGTCTCAGAACTAAACTCATAGGCAGGGTGAGAGCCCACCCTTCCAGCTGTATGCAATTTTTGTACTTCCCCCAAATGTAACTATCACTATTAACTGTATTTTTTCTAGTTTCTATAAACAGACAGGCTTTTAAATGAATATACAAAAATGACTATGGAAATATCTGTTGAGGTCAGCAAGAAAGATCACTAAGAATAGGATCAATCATTCACTGCTCCCTGCTACCCCATTCCTTCTCTGCTTCCGGGCAAACTGTCCATATTTTGGAGCCAATGCTTTACTTTCTGAGATGCAAAAACAGGCTCTGATAGTTGAAGCAACTTTGCTAAGGTGAGAGGCAACAAATTTGTAATGGTTGAAAACAAGGACTCTGGAATCTGGGCCTGAATTCAGACTGCCTCTCTCTACTACCTTTATGTCTATCTGTGGGCTTCATTCCCTTACCTGTGAAACTGGGGAAATAGTATCACCTGCCTCACCATGAGGATTAAGGGAGTAAGATTTAAAAGAGGTCCTGACACACATTAGGCATGATGTAAATGTTTGAGGCTGTTGTGTTATGTGGTGAGTTAATGCCAGAGTTAGTATTACAAGGGACTCTACTGCTCTTTTCCATTATCCCCACTCTGGATCCTAAAAGCCCAATATGATATATCTGACTTGGCAGTATGTGGTTACAATGCACCTTTAAATTAACTTAAACATTTTTAGAATGTTTTCCTTGTTTTTGTAAAATACGTGTTTTTGACAGGGTTGAAACAATAATAAAAAAGCTATGAAGAAAAAAATTACCTCTAATCCTTTCACTTGGAATAGCTCCCTATGCAGTTGTAATACAAATAAATAATACAACAATTAAATAATAACATAAGAATAAACTTTTGCATACTAACAACTGTAAACCTACCTTTGCCCACCCCTGTATGCACCCAGAAGGCATAGATGAATCAGTGAATAGGTAATTTAGCTGATCATATAATGCTCCTTTTTAATGAAAATGCAAATGGATGTCTGAATTGATTTTTCTTTAAATTTTTCTTTAACCTTTCTAGGTTAACAGTTCACTTGGGAAACAGCACTAAAAAGTATAATGGAATTTTATTTGCTTCATTATGTCATAAAAAGGCTTCATGCTCAACTTTGTTTTGACCTTGTGGCTAAACAATTCTAGTTCTATAGAATATATTGCTTGAGTTTGCTTGTAGACACATATAAAGCTATGTACACTATCTTCTTCCTGCATTTTTGTTGCTCTCTTTTAAATCTAGTATTTGTTAATCAATTGTTGATCTGTTTTTTAAGGACAACATAAATGGTCTTAAAAGCTCAATACTACAAAATGTAATCTCCAAAACTGTATATTGTTAAAGGTACAGGTACTATGTGAATTTTATTAAAATGGTGATAAGGCAGGTACATAAAGCTGCAGGTTTTATACTTCCTTCCTTGACCAGCTCTAAAAGTCCACTGAAAGGCTTTGCTTTCCTGAACATAATAATGAAATAGAAAATGTAGCCATAGTACAATAAAGGTATACATATTGAAATAATTTCAAAGTGAAATTATTCTAGAAATGGTTGGAATTAAATACATATATCTCTAAATTATTATTTGCTTTATATATTTTATACTCATATAGAGACAAATGTTGACCTCTTTCAGATAGCAATCATAACTCAATCCTTTGTCCTGAGAGCTGCGTGAGTCCTAAACCTGATATGTATATGTGTTAATGATTTATCCCCTGCCTAATTCCAATGGACTTCATGGTACTGGCTGCACTTCTAGCCTATGGCACCTTTGTGAAAATGGAAAAGGGGGCCCTCAAGCTGACTGCAGGCTGCAATTTGTTGCCAGCACTCCCTCCCAGTGCAGGGCACAAACTGTTATTGTATTGATGACTCTGTATGGTAGGTTAAAACACCGATTTAGGATTTTAAAAAATCTAGACCATCTTAAATGGAAGGAATAAAAGGAGATGATATGTGGAAGGTTTATTGGGCAGTAATTGTGAATCTACATTTTGTCCAGCTAAAGCAAAATGAGAAATGTGGGGTCATATAACCTTGTTTCCTAATGTGACATACAGAAATCACCTGTACATGCAAATGTTCCTGGAACTACATTCATGTGGAGATGGCATTTATCCCTTGGAATAAAAGTTCTTGATTAGCTTCAAGTATGGTTGCCCCCAAAGGTTCAGAAATGCTATACAAACTCACGGTGCTTGTGCCACTCCTCCCTAGGGGCTGGAGTCACCATTGTAAACCATGACTCTGAGAAGGTACATTTTTAAGGAGCTAGACACAATGTGGTCATTTGCTTTCTAATTTTGCAAATTAATTATGGGATGCAACTTGGAAAATCTTTCTAACTGTCCATAAACATGTCCATGGGCCTGTCTCTAAAATGTCTGAAACATGAAACACATTTTGAGCTGATGTCAAATTATGCTTCGACCACAGCCATTGTGACTTATCTACCAGGAGATACCAATTATCAAAGTAATGACAACAATCTATTTCTAAAAGTTTTGTTTGCTACAGTAATCTCTTCTGGGGTCAAATACCCCAGTAATTTCTGGTACAGCAAATACTCTAACTTAGCAATGAAGGAAAAAATGTCCAACTGGCAAAAGCAAACCAGCAATTACATACCATGAATGTGTTTTCTAATTTTGCATATTTTATTCTTTTTTTTTACCCTGGGTGAATGCCTTTTGTAAATTTAGTAATCTTTGCATTTTCTCTTCTTACCAAGCAAGTTGCTTGATATGGTCTTTGGAATGATAATTTACTATATCATGTGTAAAACAGAAAACCTGATTTTTACTTCGAATTTACTGTCTTGCCATCCATTCAGTTTGACTGAATTTAACCTCATGATTCTAGTTCTTGTATCCCACAGTAGTTTGTAGAAAAAATATTATCTCTAATAATCAGAAATAGAGAAAACGAATATAGAATTTTTTCAAAAACTGAATCCTTTATCTAAAAAGTATATAACACAGCAGGAAAGCATCATTAAGTGAATTACATCAATTTTCTGTGCAGTGGGGACAGTTTAGGTGATTCTTCTACTTTCAAAGGGAAAAAAGCATTAGTACAAATTCTTCCAAATACTCATCTATAATTTATTATTTTATAGAACCCATCACATATTTTCAATATAATAGCACTTTTATAAAATGGCATTTTGATTACTTTGAAGTCATTGTTATAATTAAATCATAATATATTCTGTTTGGATGACTCAGAGTTATGTATGAGAAATCTGCAATGCGCTCTATTTCAAGGGCCAACCGTTACATGTCAAAAATAAGTTATAGCTTTTTCTGATAATAGTAATACAGCAAAGACACATAAAATTTCATTTTCAGTAACTTCTCAGTAAAGTTATATGCCAGGAAAATACTGACAGAGACAACAGTCACCACAACTACTGTAAAGATATAATGCTTTCTCAGACCTAAAAGAAATATTTGCTGCTCCATACCCTCTCTGGAGAACACACTAACAACTTCCACGCTGTTCCATGGGTTGGTTTGCCGGTGTTCTACCTGAGTAACTATTTTATGGTGTTTCTAGTCTTCAGCATCTCAAGACTGTCTTGAACACCTATTGTCACTTTCGGACTTAAAATCTCAACCATCAAAGCACGTGGCAGGCGACGCTCGTCCTTTGTGGGAATGCGCACACAGCAAAGCCTCACTGTCTGAACCTTGGCATTTTACACAAGAAAAATATCCAAGTGAGTATGGGTTAATAAACCTCTGAGCAAAACCTTTAACAATCTTAGTGACTTTTAATGAAAGCTTTTCTAAAATGTAGCATATAGTTTGTCATATTCCTAAATAGACTGAAAAGAACCTCTCAGTGCCATCCCCCATGACTCAAGAGAAGGACTACGAATGACAATGACCAAACTTTGGTGTCCGAGAGCAATGCCTGAGTGAAACTTTAAAAGTAGTTGTCTGTTTTGAAGCAAACATAATTATATGATGGATATAATATTAGTCTTATAAATCATAAGCACCTCTTCATACACACTGAATACTGATAAATGTCACAGAAATTCTAATTTAGAAATTCTGACATACAAGGAAATGTTACTGCATGTAGAAATAAAATAAGCCAGATGAAATAACTAGGATAATGAAAGAGGAGATGTAATAGATAAATACGGCTATATTAGTAGTCAGTAGTATTGCACAAATCAGTAACCTCGGAATACAGATGTCTAGTCTCCCTACTGCCAGTCCCTTTGGAGCATGAGGTTTCTCCCTGTGTTCCTAAGGTGGGTGGGGGGAGCTGGACCTATGTCTCTCCACCATGGCTAAAAAGATCTGACAACCACTAAAAAAGTGCTGAAAACTAGACATTTTTGCTGCAAATATCTGTCATTATATCAGTTTTCCTCCTTTGTTATGTAAATTCAGAAAGTTAAAATATAAAAATATACCTCTTTACATTCTCTTCATCTCATTAAGGAATCTTTTTATCATATAGTTCTTTCCTGCTTGTCTCATATGTCATCTGTACATACATAACTTAAAAACTAAATACCAAGATGTAATCACCTAAAGTGCTCTATTTCTGTGTTATTTTTACAAAGTTCTGTAAACTTTGTAAAAGTTTATTATTTTTAACATAATTTTTAACATAAAAAGATTATTATTTTTTAACATAATAACATGAAGTTCGTAAGTTGTCTAACATCTTTTTCTAGGTAGCTCATGGGACTCAAGGCCCTAAGAAGGCAGGGAGAGACATACTCGCACACGTTTCCTGAGAAACGGAGCCGCAATGTGACGGCGGAGCTCCAGTAAGAACCTTCTCGTGCACCCAGCTTCTCTTCCACAAATGTAAACCCTAAATCACCTCAGAAAATGTTCTACCACACTTGAATAAAGAGCTGTTGAAAAACATTTTTTCCAACTTTCGAATGTTAAATGTTGCTAACAATCAGGATCTCCCCAGTTGGCCTCTGTGGAAAGATACTGGTTGATGTCAAGCAATGCAAAGCACAGATGAGAGATTCAAGCAGGGGCGGGGTGATTTGTAATGCAACATAAAGCACTGAAGCACATAATCTGAAGGTAAATTTAACTTCATAAAATGATATAAAACATTTCCTTAAACATCCTGTTTTCTTCACATCATTGTTGTAAAGCTTTGCAAAGAAATAAACGTCTTTTGCTATTTTTAAGCTCAGAGACTTCAGAGAGCACGTCCTTTGTGGAGGGAGTCTTTTTCCCCCGTTTTGGCTCTCCGAGCCCTGGTGAGGGACGCCTTGTTCTCTGGGACACACCGGGCAGGCAGAGCCTGTGCGCATGTGCAGCACTGGGCCTGTGAAAAAGTTCACAGCTACAGGAAAAAGAATTTTTTTAGACAGAGCTTCCTACAGCTGAGTTTGCCACACATTATTAGCAGAAAGGTGTGCTCTTGTCTTAAAGAAACATAACAATACAAACTTGGTTATGTTTTTAATCAAGAAAATAAAATAAAGAAAGGGAACAATTTGGTTGGATTTTTTGAGCTCCCTGAAAAAAAAAACAAACAGAAAAAGAAGATTGGATGGAGAAAAGAAGCAGCACTTATCTCTTCACAACTTGAAGATTAGTCATAGAGAATAGAATGAAGAGAAACTGTTACAAATTAAGTCCTGTATTCATTCTCATAGTCTCCAATTTTCTTAATTTGGAATTCATATGGATACCAATATTTTGTATTCGCATTCCTTACACCTCCTTTCTGGCTCTACAGATGCAATAAGCTCTTGAAAGAAACACTGTGTCCCAGAAATGTCCAAACATCATGTGGTGGCAGCTTTCTGGCCCTTTAGTGACTCCCAAGAATGAAGGGAAACTTCCAGAGCCTTAAAGGGCCCTAGTGTTCTGGTTAGCTCACCATGCAAATCAAACCAAACATAGCGTGACTCTCGAACAAACATACAAACAAATTCTGATTCTCAGATAGTCTCCCTTTCAGGGCCATGGATCAGTGAGAAAAGACTACCTAGTGTAGACAATCACAATGTGGTGGAGTGGAAGGCCTGAAAGGATTCCCTCCGAGGTCTCCTTTGACATGGGAGACCAGGATCTCAGAGCAAGCCAGGGCCCCGAGGCTGGCACCCCCAGGGCCGGAAGGCGTGTTTTTTGACTTCCGGTAGGCACATCGTAAGGGACACACACACAGCCTTGAAACATAGGAAACCACTTTGATGTTTATTTTAATATGTAAAATTATCCGCGATTTAATAGTTTATTTCTATATGAGCAATGATTAGTAATGGTAGAAGGAAAGTAGGAAAAAACAAAGCAGCGAAGAAGGGATTCAGATCTCAGTTATGTGAAAAGCCATCCCCAGGAAAAATGCCTTCTTCTAAGTCATGCTTTTGTGGTGGGTAATGGGCTTTGACAATTAATTAAATGAATATTTATTGATATACAGCAATACACAGAATAAACTCCTTTCCTTGTAGAGCTTGCAAATTAGCTGGGTACACAAATGATAAACAATAAGCAATACAACTACTGATAATTGGACATGCTATTAGGAAGCATAGAGCAGGTTGGGGATAGAGTATAAGGGAAGTGGGTAGCAGATATTTTCATGGGATTGACAGAGAGGCCTCTAAGGAGGTGACATTTGAGCAGAGTAGGAGACCTTTGAATCTGATGTGTGAGTTGCAGTTAGGATGGTAGAAAGGTCTAAGATGAAAAATAAGTCAAGTTACAAAAAATTTACTCACACTAGATCCCAGTTAGGTCTGTTGTTCTTCAAATGTTTTTGCCTGTTCTTTCTTTAACTCAATACACCCGAGACTGATGAAATAATCTATCTTTTCGGTTGGCAAGAAGACAACTAAATTTATGTGCCTATAGTCCAGCAGACCACTTTACTGCATAGAACAAGCTCTTTTCTTCGTGCCCTGCAAGTGGTTTTGGCTTGAGCAGCACAGTATCTTGCTTCCTGATACAATTCTTCCTGAAGTTCCCAAGATTGCTGCAAGTGCTGAGTCAGACTGTCCAGGTTACTTAATGGGATGACAGAGTTGCTAGCATTTTTCATTAACCCTGAACTCCTTCTTAATAAAACAGGACCAGATCACTCAACACAGATGGGTTCTTGCCTAAATTAGAGTGGCCAGAAGTGATGTAAGGCTGCTCCTTTTATCATAAGTAATCACATCCCATCTTTAGAGAAAGGACAAAAAAAAAAAAAAAAGCCAAAGACATTTGTCACTGTCTGGTGGTCAATCTCCCTAACATCAAAGAGGTACATTTTTTAGGTTTCCTGAGTGCTACTAGAACTTTATCTAGTACTTTGTATTTCTCACATTTTTAGATAAACATCAGATTTCACAAAGAGGCCAAAATGAAGTGTAAGTAGAGCTTGGAACTAAAATATATATTGGCCTTGGCTGGTGTGGCTCAGTGGATTAAGTGCCAGCCTGCAAAGCAGGGGGTCTCTGGTTTGACTTCCAGTCAGGGCACATGCCTGGCTTTCGGGCCAGGTCCCCAGTCGGGGGTTCGAGAGAGGCAACCACATACTGATGATTCTCTCCCTCCATTTCTTCCTTCCCTTCTAAAGATAAATAAATAAAATCTTTTTAAAAAGACTATCCAACCCACTGATTTAAAAAATATGTATATATACTGATTAGTCATGGGGGGTCTGCTGCTTCATTTCTTTCTATTTTCCAGTCCATCCTCTTGTCTGTTGTTGGCTGGATTTGCCTTTGATGCTTTTGGATAAATCTCCCTCCAAACTTCCAGCAAACCACACCATATGCTATGTATGCCCCAACCCTTTCAAGGGTTGATCAAGAGAAGATCACTTCTTACTCTTCCTGGGATCCCTGACGCCTTGCACAGAGTCTGTTACATGGCAGTTGTCTAATAAATCCTCCATGAAGGCATGTCATACTTTTTATTTCCCTCAAGTGTAGTTCTTTCCCTTTTTAATCCTCACCGAGGATATGTTTATTGATTTTAGAAGGAGACTAAGGGAGAGAGAGAAAACATCAATGCGAGAAATGCCAATAAGGAACCTCCCATATATGGCTCAGGCGGGGATTGAAACTGCAATCCAGGCATGTGCCCCAACCTGGCATGGAACCCACAGCCTTTTGGTGTATGGGACAGTGCTGCAACTGAGCCACCTGGCCAGAGCTCAAGTATGGTTCTTCTTATTTTAATTTTTAAAATAAGTTTGTCATCCCTCAAGTTCTACTTCTATTTAAACTCCTTGTCAAACTCCAAGTTGAAGCCTCCTTGTTTGTATAATTCCATCACCTGCTTAGTGGCTCACCATCATCACACAATGCACCTACCCTTGTCTGCATATAATTTACAGAATAAAAATACTGAAGCAGGGAGTTAAGGTCATGTTATTAGAGTCAAGCAAAGGAAGAAGTGGAATGGAGCCTTCCAATGTTCTGGTATGGTTTAATGACAATTATTTGTATATTTATTGGTAGTTCATGTAAAAAGTCAGTCTCAGCAAAATTCCCACTAAATATGTAATAGAAGCTAAACAGTTTTATTGCAGTGTCTTATACTTTCCTTGTATCTTCAGTCTCCTAACAGAGATGATTCTGATGACTTTCTTCCCCTGGTCCCAAAGCTACTATGTGAAATCCATGAAAGAGGTGAGAGTTTTCATGGAAAATTCGCTAGCATTAACTAGGAAGAAAGGACTCAGGTAGCCATATCAAAAACAGCAGGCCATAAAGTCCAACACCTCTCCCACCTGATGTGCCTGTAGACTTTTGAGCTGGTAGTTTTTAAAACCAAAATAAACCAAGGAAACTGTTCTGGAACCTATACTCCATTACAATAGTGGACAGAATTTCAAGTGTGGTAGCCATATAATCGGACACAAATGTATGGGGCTTCTCTCTGTAGTAGGGCTACATATCCTCCCCTTGTTGAAGTCAGGCATGGCTACGTGACTTGACTTAGTCAGTGAAATTTAAGCAGAAATGATTACTGTCACTTCTAGGAGGTAACTTTAAGAGCTAGTGCATGGCTTGGCAAGTTCTCTGTCTGTTAGACTGTGGAAGCAATGCACTTTCCATCTTCCAGTGTCCGTAAGGGACAGTGGTAAGCAGAGCAACTTTTCTCCCCCATAATGTACTGTTGTCACAAAACATTATATGAAATGTTAAAGGGGCTTATTTGAGAAAAATAAGATAAAAACTATGAACAATAAAATGGCAATAAATACATATCTATCAACAATTGAATCTAAAGAACAAGCTAAGCAAACAAGAAAAACAGAGAATTTTGGATACAGACAGTACTTAAGATGGTTACCAGATAGGAGGGGGGGTCAGGGGCATTAAAAAGTACAAATGGGTAGTTGCAGAATAGCCATGGGGATGTAAAGTAGAGTATAGGAAATGGAGTAGACAAAGAACATACACACATGACCCATGGACATGAATAATGGTGTGGGGATTGCCTGAGGGAGTGGGACAAAGGGGAAAAATTGGGACAACTGTAATAACATAATCAATAATAGATAATTAAAAATAAAATAAATTTCAACAATTATAAAAACAATAGGCAAATTCTTTCACATAGGATTAAGATACAAATTTTGGGCACTTAAAAAGATTTACTAACTTTTTTCTAGAACTCCAAAAAATTAAAGAAGAAATACTTCCTAAGTGATTTTATAAGGCCAACATTACTCTGATGCCAAAACAAGGCAAGGTAAACAAACAAAAATAAATTTACAGGCTAATACCTCTAATGCACACAAAAGTAAAAATTCTAAACAATTTTAGCGAACTGAATACAATATTACATTAAAAAGATAATACATTACAGTCAATTGGTGCTCATTCCAGGAAAGTAAAGATGGTTCAATGTATGCAAATCAATCAATGTGATAT